GAAATATATATACATATATATATATATATATATATATATAGGGAGGAACATTTAAAACTGGTCACCTAAATAACTCGCTTGTTTTTAATAATAGAAGAAAAAGTGTCAAACAAAAATTGCTTGGTTTCGAGGAGCACATAATACAATGTCAATAATTTGCCATCGATGGCGAATATTTCACTAATTTACTTATTTGCCGTTACAACAAGTGTTCAAAATAATGACCCTGAACGTCTACGAATTTTCTGAAACAATTGTGTCAACACCAATAACACTGCACGACAAATTTCATTCAGATCAATCGCAACGCAAGCTCTTTTTATACGCTCCTTCATGTCTTCTCTTGTTATCGGCATTTTACCGATACACTTGTTGTTTTTCCATAAAATAAAAATCCATAGATGTTAAATCTGGGGAACGTGCGGCCCATTTCTTATTTCTTGACCGACCAATCCAACGATCTTCAAATTTATTGTTTAGCAATTCAGTAATAATCAGTGCAGAAGGAGCAGGACATCCATTTGCTGGTACCACATTGATTGTTGTACGTTCAATGGAAGATCTTCTAATAATAGTGGCAATATTTCTGTAAAAATTTGTGCATACTTGCAACTATTTAATGGTCCATCAATAAAATGAGGACCAATTATTTTATCACACAATTAAAAGAATAAATTACAAATAGAGAAAACTAAAATTAAAAAAATATATAATAAAATAAAAACTCAGTTTAAATACAGATTACAAGTTTCGGCTTTGACCGGATTGAGCCCTCTTCAGACATTAACTTATCGAAAAAAATTGCAGTATAAAATTAATTATTGCAAATGTTCGTATATTCACTATATTCACAGTTCGGGTGAGCCTTGATGTAGAACTCGACACTATTCACATACGATTGAACAGTCAAGTGTGTTTCATATCTCTTGGAAAAGTTCTAGTTAATAAAAAAGATAAAAAGACTTCTTACGAAAAAATAAACGCAACTAAATTAACATACCGGAATTCTAACAAGTAATTAAAACTTAAATCATGTGTAAATTATTCAAACAAGTGTGTTCATATAAGTATGAAAACCATTAGAATAAAGTTATGTGGAACGCTGATACGTAAGATGGACATTGTGTATCGATTGAAAAGCAGAATTACAGAACATCATAATCATAATAGACTTAACACTTCTGTCATAACGGAGCACAGGCTGCAGTATGATCATGATTTCCAATGGAATAATATTAAAATTTTTTATGAAGAGCCTTGCTATAGGAAACACTTAATTTTCGAGATCAATATTAAGAAGCAGAAAAATAGTTTAAATTTACAAATTGACATTGGAGGGATGTCTTCATAAGGGATATATACCTATTGTAAATAAGGTTTGACTTTTCGATACTGATAGTCCGTCTCTTCTCTCAGTCCGCAGTGATCCGTATCAGCGAGCGTACATAATAATCAATACACAATGTCCGTCTTACACATCAGCGTTCCAAATAACTTTATATATTCTAATGGTTTTTCATACTTATATGGACACATTTGTTTGAATAATTTATACATGATTTTTAGTGAGTTTTCATTACTTATACAATTAGATTAATTCCGGTATGTTAATTTAGTTGCGTTCATTTTTTTGTAAGAAGTCTTTTTATCTTTTTTATCAACTAGAACTTTTCCAAGAGATATGAAACACATTTGACTGTTCAATCGTATGTGAATAAGTATCGAGTTCTACATCAAGACTTACCCGAATTGTGAATATAGTGAATATGCGAACATTTGCGATTAATAATATATAATTGATTTTATACTGCGCTTTTTTCGATAAGTAAATGTCTGAAGAGGGCTCAATCCGGTAGTCGAAACTTGTAATTTAAAATAAGTTTTTATTTTATTATATATTTTTTAAATTTTACTCTTCTCTATTTGTAACTTATTTTTTTAATTGCGATACTTTTTTAAAGAAATGTGTTTGATTCTTACTTTGCCCTTTTTATTGTTATTTATTTGTATAGGAAGAGTCCTTCAATCTATTAAATTATTTTATCATTAAGAATCGCTCACCACGCATCTTATTTTTAATGTTTGGGAACAAAAAGAAGTCATTAGGTGATAAATCAGGCGAATACGGACAATGAGTCATCAATTCGACATTATTACTGGATAAAAAATTAATGGTTTGACGTGCTGTGTGACAGCGTTATCTTGATGAAAAATGATGCGACAATTTCGGTTCATTCTACGCAATTCATTTATAACTTCTGGCAAACAAATTGTTGTATACCAATCAGTATTTACAGTCCTTCGATCCTTTAAAGCCACAGTTGTCACATGTCCAGTATAACCGAAGAAACAAGCAATCATTTGCTTGGCAGCACTGTGTGAACGAACAACTTTTGTTGGTTTCGGTTTATTTTGAAATACCCAAACAGTGGATTGTTGTTTATTTTCGGGCTCACACGAACAGATCCATGTTTTGCCCCCAGTAACGATGCTGTAGACGAAATTTGACCGACCTTGGTTAAATTTCTTGAGCATTTCTTTGCTCCATTTAACACGAGCCTGTTTTTGAGCTTCAGTCAAATTGTGTGGGATTCAACGACTGCAAAGTTTCCGTACGCTCAAGTGATCATGCAAAATCGTACGTATTGCTTTCATGTTAATGCCTAAGGATGCCCGAATCTCGCGATATGTTATATGTCGATCTCGATCAATTATTTCACGCACAGCATCAACATTAGTGGCAACAACAGATGTGGATGGACGACCTTGACGGAATTCATCACTAAGAAATCTGACTTGACCTAACCTGGCCTGTTCTGACCTAATCTGACCTGACCTGATCTGACTTGGATCCTATCCGACCCGACCCTTTTTTTTCTTTTTCATGGGGAAATGCCGTTACGCATCCCCTCATCCTCGGGGGGAGGGTGAGGGGTATGTGGGACTCGGGGTCGTGAAGAATCACGAACCCCCATACCCACTAAATCCCCATGGGAGACCTTCCTGACGCGGTGTTGAGAGGGGGGTGAGGGTACGCCGGAAGCATTTCATCTCGCCCCCCCCCCGCGTCCTTTCTTGCTGTCTGAAAGCCAAATTGGCTTTTGCTCTCTCGCGCACTCCTTCTCGTCCTAACCCGGCCCCGACAGGCAGGGTCTCCGCTGCCTGTCGAGCCACCTTAGGGGGAGATGCTGGGGAGAGCAGCCCCCCGCTGCCCCTCCCCGCCCCCTGGCTCCTTGAACCCTACCGGTTCGCGAGCCACTCCCTGACCAAATGGTCCCGGCTTTGCCTAAGCGGGTGCGTTTCCGCCCCCCCGCCTCCTCCTCCTCTTTCCGCCTCTTGCGGTTCGAAAGCTGGAGGGGCTGTTTCCCTCCTCCTCTCTCTTTCCGCCCTTTCTTTGGCGGTCATCACTTTAATGGCAAACGTTGCTACGGCGCGCCAAGCGCTTTCTCCACTCACCATGGCTCTCACCAGAGCCGTCGGGGCCAGGTCCTGGCCCACCTCTTCTTGTAGTTCCGCGCGCTCCTCCCTCCAGACTTCGCAGTCCTGGAGGGTGTGCTGCGCGTCATCCACGACACTGCGCCTGCAGTGATGGCATCGGGCACTTCTCTCCCTTCCGATCCTCTGCAGATAGGCCCCGAAACAGCCGTGGCCTGTTAATAACTGCGTGAGGTGGAAGGAGAGCTGCCCGTGTCTCCTGTCAATCCAAGCGGGGAACACGGGCCGGATCGCGTCCAGCGTCCGTGCCCCCGCCAGTCTCTCGTCTCTGAGAGACTCCCTCCAGCCCGCCAGGGCCTTAGCTCTCGCCCTGCGTCTCGCCTCCTTCATTCTCGTGGAGGTTATCTTTCGCCCTACCGCTCTGAACGCTCTCCGCCAGTGGTACACCTCGGCGTACATAGCGGCCAGGCTCTCTATCGGCGGGATGCCCGCTAGCACGGTTACCGCGCTGAAGGACACCGTCCTGTATGCTCTTGCTATTCTCGAGGCTATGCGCCTCTGGCATCCATGGGTTATACGGCGCAGCTGTGCCGACCCATCCATCTCTTCCGCCCACACCGGTGCCCCGTACAGGAGCACCGAGTGGGTGACTGCGGCATAGACCCTCCTCACCGCCGCTCCCGGTCCTCCCAAGTTCGGCAAGAGCCTCGCCAGTGCGCACGCCATCCTGTCCGCCTTCGGAATCAGCTTCCTGAAGTGCGGCAGGAAGCTCCACAGCGGGTCCAGGTGCAATCCTAAGTACTTTATGGATCGGCCTATCTCAATCTCCTCCCCATCCACTGTGATCGTGTTCTGGGGTGGCCCTCCCGTGGACGCCTTGTAAAAGTACATCGCCTCGGTCTTGTGAGCCGCGACCCTCAAGCCCATCGCCTTAATTGCTTTTACCGTCCTGGCTGTGGCCAAATTGGCCGTCGTCAGTGCGTCTCCCCAGTCCTTCACCGCCGCTAGCACCAAGGTATTGTCTGCGTAACAGACCATGGTGCAGCGGGGGGGCAGCGAGGTCCGCAGGACCCTGTCGTACGCTAGGTTCCACAAAAGTGAACCCAGGACAGAGCCCTGCGGGACCCCTCGTCGCAATCTCTTTGACCGGACGGCTCCGGCGCTGTCCCTCCATTCGAGGGTTCTACCCTCGAGGTATTTTCTAATGATCTCTACCAAATATGTTGGTAGACCAAACGTCTCTTCCATCGCTCTCATGATCCACCTCCACGGGATCGAATTAAAAGCGTTGGAGATGTCTAGTGAGACAGCCAAAACTACCTCTCCTTCTTCCGTCTCAGTTTCTACCTATTCCCTGACGAACTTGATCGCATCCACTGTCGATCTGCCTTCTCTAAATCCGAACTGGCACTCGGACAGTTTATTTTTCCCCATGGTAGGGTTGCGTCTCAGTTGTTTACCAATTCTGTCGGCTATGACACGCTCGAAGACCTTCGCGCTCTAGTCAATAAGGCAGATGGGCCAGTAAGACGAAGGGATGCCAGCCGGTTTCCCCTCTTTAGGGATTAAGACCAGGGTAGCCTTTTGCCATATATCTGGGAGTGCCCCTCTCGGAGACACCCCTCCATCAGCTCCCTTATGTCCTCCCCGACATGTGGGATGGCCATTTTGAGGGCAGCTCCGGGGATGTGGTCGGGACCCGGCGCTTTGGCGACCCCCCCGATCCTTTTAACCGCCCGCACCATCTCTTCCTCCTTCATTTGCCAGTTTTCCCTCCAGGGAGCCGGTAGCTCGTACCTCCGCGGGAGCAGTTCGTCGTCCCCCGGGAAGAGCTCCGCCATGATATACATACGCTCTACTGCCTCCGGCTCCAGAGTCTCCGTTATCGGAGGCGTCCAGGGCTTGAGTCTACCCATGACCAACTTATAGGGTCTGGCCCATGGGTCCTTATTCAGGGTCTCGACGAACTCTGTCCAAGCCTTTTCTTTTGCGTCGCGTATTAATGCTTTCATCTCCTTTTTTACCTTCCTGAGGTTTTCTCGGAGCCCGACAGCCTCCTCCTCACGACCGCGCCTTTTCATTTTGGTGAGTTGGCGTTTAATCCTTCCAGCTCTTCTCCTGGTTTCCGCTATCTGTTCGTTCGACCAGTAGAGAGCTTTTTTCCGTACACTTCTTTTCTTCGGCATCGACGCATCACACGCTCTCCACAGGGTCTCGCGCACGTTCCTTGCTCTTTTCTCCAGACTAGCTTCTCCCGCTCTCACGGCATCCGCTGACCACCTACCAGCCTGCATTGCCGTCTCAAACATGTCTTCATCGATATGTCTTACCGCCCATCCTCTGTTCTTGCGGCTCACGACCCGCTCTTGACGCTCCCGGCTTCCCGGTAGGCCTAACTCAAATCTTACGTACCTGTGGTCCGAATAAGTGAACCGATCTTCGTCCACGTGTCATCCTGCTATTCTACGGCATGCGGCAGGGGCCGCCAACGTCACGTCGACGACAGACTCCCCCTGCCACCGTACGCAGGTGCTCGCCTGGCCCTGATTCATGACAGACAGCCCCAGGTTTGCCATCCAGTCGAGGAGCAACTCGCCTCTGGCGTCTGTGATTCCCGATCCCCAGGCTCTTGCTTTGGCGTTCAGGTCGCCCGCCACAATCGTAAGGGGGCCCATGTTTCTTCGCACCGCCAATTCCAGTCCATCGAGGTACCTCTCGAAGGCCTCCGTACTCTTATTCGGGAATGCGTAGCACGACGCTATGACCGTGCTTCCCCACTTCACCACCACGTATCCCCTATCTCATTCCAGTACCTGGATGGGGGGCGAGTTCTCGCTCCCCGCCCAAACTACCGCCGCCAGCCCCTCCGTGTCCCCAGCCCAGTGGGGATGCTCTGGGACTCTGTAGGGTTCCGATATTATTGCCAGATCCCACTTCTCCTCGGCCATAGCTTGCAGCAGCAAATCTTGTGCTGCCGCCGTATGGTTTAGATTCATTTGCACCAGTTTTAGGGGCATTGCGGCGCAGCTATAGCTTCCTCCAAGCCTATTTCCATCGGGGTCTCTTCGCTACCCCTGCCAGCACTCGTAGATGTTATGCGAGGTGGCCTCTTCTCCTTCGGGGCCTCTGCTACCCCGGTTCCGGAGGCGACGATTTTTGTACCCCAGAGGGGCCCTGCGAGATAGAGGAGCTTGGTGGTTTCGCCCCGCCGCTCCCCTCTCCTCTCCTTGTGGGTGCAGCGCTTGCTTTCCTGCCGGATTTCGCGTTGCACCCCCTGGATCCAATTTTATGGTCCGCCTTTCTTCCTGCCTCTTTGCACGAGGGGCACTCCGCCGGGCGGTCGCACTCGCTGGATTTATGACCAGTTTGACCACATCGATAGCAACATTGGCTCCTATCCGTTTCGCTGTTGCATCTGGCCTCTAGGCACTTGAAGCACTGCACCCTTCGCTGTTGTAGAACGTCTATCCGGTAGGAGAGCCATCCGATCTTTATCCTTCTCTGCGCCGTAATTTTCCTTGCCGCCAGTATGGGACATTGTATCCACGCGGTGCCCTGTCCCAGTCCGCCTGCTGTCCGCCTAATGGGGCCTACCTTTACCAGGTCCTTGGCGCAAGCCCCTAGCGTGGCTATCGCCTCCGCGATCTCCTCCACACTGACCGAATCGTCCAGGTCCCGTATCCGGAGATCTACTCTTCGGTGGGGCCTGGTTATCTTAACTCCTTCTCTGAAGGCCAGCAGCTCGCTAAGCCTTCCTGCGAGAGCATCAGCCTTGCTCCCCTCTTTATCCCCCGGGATTTCTAGGATCATGGCCCCAGTGACCGCTTTTCTGGGTCTGACCTCTTGGATTCCTAGTTCTTGGAGATTAATCCTGGTCCTCGCCTCTTTCATAACCTCCGCATAGCCCCCCGGTGGTGCCGTTATAACCACCGCCGGCATCCTAGGCGGCTTGCCAATCTTAGGCGTTTTCCCAAGACCATTCTTGGCCTTGTCCGTACTTTTTCGGGGGGAAGGAGCCTCCTTATCCCGACCTGACTTCTCCTTGTTTCTTTTCGCAGGTGCCTTATTCCCGGAGCCCTTTTTGGCTACCGCGGTCCGATCCCCCTCCCTCCTCGACACTTCGCTACCCTTCTGCGTTGGTTGCGATTGCGAGGTACGAGGTTGGGGATCATTGGCAGGTGTTCTCGCAGGAACGCATACCGCACTCTTCTCCCCTGACTCGCCACCTGACTTCTTCTTCTTTTGGTTCTTACCAGAACCACCTTTTGCCTCTGTGGGACCCTTCCCACCAGTCTTGGCTACTGTTATAGTCTCCCCATTGACCACGCCTAACTCCCTGAGTACTGAGACCCCTTACGTCATTGGGGTCCGCGTGTCCATCCTTGTCGCCTCCCCCCGTTCTCATGGGGGGGCCCAGCGAACCGTCGTCCAGATTTCTGGACGCCACACCCATGAGCGGGGGCCTGAACACCGGTGGCAGAGGCTCTCCGGTTGCCTGGTCACTCGAAGGGCCCGCTTGTGCCCCCCCCCTCCCCGTGTCCATTTCCGTCGCCTGTGGACCTTTCCCTGGATCCTCCATTTCCATATCCGACTCGTGGTCGGAATCGAGGCGTCTTGCGTGCCTCCTCCTCTCTCGGTCGGGGGACTCTATGATCCTCTGAGCCCTCAGCTTCTTGTTCTCTTCTTTGGTCGCCCTCAGGTTTTTCTTGAGGGCTTCCAGTTCCTTCCTAAGGACATTTATCTCTGTCCTCATCTCCTCGAGCATCCCTGAGTTCTGGGTACCCTGGGCCCTCTCGCTCATCACAGTGGTTGTCGCGGTTATTTTGGCGGCCGCCTCATAAAGCGCTTTTATAGTCCATTTAGGTTGTTGGCGGTGTTTGCCAACTTCTCTATCAGGTTGACTCCTTCATCCACAGCCGTGTTCAGATCATCCGTTGGTTGATCTGTATATTCTTCTATGAACGCCTGTTTCATTGCTCGGGACTTTTTGGCCCTCTTCTGGGGCAGCTGGAAATCGGGATCCATTGCCGCTCTCTCCGCTTCTCTCAGCGAGTTTAGTTTGAGGAATTGCTTCCTCGTTTTCCTTGGGTCGATATTAAATCGTCCCCTATGATCCCTGATCTGGTAAAATTCCGTGCCCTTACATTTCTTCGTATCCGGGTCATAGTCGTCATTTTCCATGATCTCCGAGCTCGAATTACCCCCCTCTCGCTCCTTCCGCGATCGCTGCGGCTGTTGAGTCCGTAGTGCCAATAGATGACAGCGATGTACTGGACTCTGATCTCACTAGCATCACCTGCGATGTGCTTGGGGTTTGTTGTTCCCCCTCTTTCTGCGCAGAACTTGGAGCGCTTGCAGCTTGGTTGTTGTGTAGCCGTTCCAGGACGATCCTCGCCCCCTCCAATTTCTTGTTCCCCACCTCGCTCCTCTTTTTCGTCGGTTTTTTTAGTTTAATAGCGGATTCCATTCCTAGTAAGATTTCAAAGTACGGTTCGCCCATCATGGGAGAGGTGGGGCATCTTCCCCGTCGTTAAGAAGCCGTATTGACCCACCCGGCAGCCGAGAGGCGGTCTTCGGATGGTCAGTCCTAGTCGGGTGCATGATTCTGCTAAAAATGTTACGGGATAGGCCCGTGCCAAAAATTATGCTAGAGGTTTAACGTCACCCCTATTACCGGCTGCCACCCTACCGACGAGCGCTTCACCGGCCCCGGGCTAGACGGTGCCGCGGTTTATCCGCCGCGGCACGGGTATGAGGGGACGCTGACCGAGCGCCCCTCCACGCGTGCGCCTTCCGTCCACTTTTGACCCCCGGATAGGCTCCGATCAAGTCGGTGGCAGCGGTCCTTCCCACTAGTATGCGTGCCGGCTCACGGAACCTATGCCTGGCAGGGGCCAGGACTTACAGTTACCCTTATTACCCCGGCAGAGGCCCAGGTACTCGACTTACCACCGACCTCGGTCAGGAGGGAACTATCCCTCCCTTGGTTAGTCTCCGGGGAATCGCCAGCGGACTTCCACCGAACCTCATTCAACTATCACCATTCATACTATATACCCCATCTACGCGGGGTACGGTGGGCTCTTAGTATGGCATCCAAGTTGGACCCAAAGCCCCCTCGCCATGACAAGGCGGCCCACCACGAGGGAGGACCTGACCTTTTTTTTTTTTTTTTTTCATGGGGAAATGCCGTTACTTATCCCCTCATCATTGGGGGGAGGGTGACGGGTATGTGGGACTCGGGGTCGTGAAGAATCACGAACCCCCATACCTACTAAAACCCCATGGGAGACCTTCCTGACGCGGTGTTGAGAGGGGGGCGAGGGTACGCCGGAAGCATTTCATCTCGCCCCCCCCCCGCGTCCTTTCTTGCTGTCTGAAAGCCAAATTGGCTTTTGCTCTCTCGCGCACTCCTTCTCGTCCTAACCCGGCCCCGACAGGCAGAGTCTCCGCTGCCTGTCGGGCCACCTTGGGGGCAGATGCTGGGGAGAGCAGCCCCCCGCTGCCCCTCCCCGCCCTCTGGCTCCTTTAACCCTACCGGTTCGCGAGCCACTCCCTGACTAAATGGTCCCGACTTTGCCTAGGCGAGTGCGTTTCCGCCCTCCCGCCTCCTCCACCTCTTTCCGCCTCTTGCGGTTCGAGAGCTGGAGGGGCTGTTTCGCTCCTCCCTGCTCTGACCTAACCTGATCTGATGTGACCTGACCTGACCTGGATTTCCCCTGATCTGACCTGACTTGATCTGATCTAAATTGATCTAATCTGACCTGGAATTGACCTAACCTATTCAAACCAGATCTGACCTAACCTGACCGACCTGATCTGACCTGATCTGACCTGGATCTGAAATGTCCTGACCTGTCCTGACCAAACCTGACTTGAACTGTACCTGATCTGACCTGACATTGACGTGACCTTGACCTGACCTTGAT